CAGTACAGTGCAGTACGAAGAGAGAGAACGCTAACCTTGCTTGAGGCAACTTCTGGCGTGGAGGGCAGGAAGGCGGGTGGGGAGGCGGTTATTTCTTGGAGGGGGAGTGCCCCTCCCTACAGGAAGCCATGACCACGTGTCACGGCAGGGAAAATGGCCGTGGATCCTGTTTGTCACCCGATGCGGAGTTCGCGGACGGAAGCAAAATTTTGCGAACGGTGCTGTTCATGACCCGAATTGGTCATGAACAGAAGCGTTCGTGACCCGAGGTACCACTGTACTTGTCAGAGCTATTAACTAACTCACCAACTATGCTTGTTAGAACATAAGCTTCAAAAGCATTTCAGCAGTTTACTGTAGAAGTTAGTGTGATATTATTTAGGAAGCTAATTGAAGAAGGCCAGTTTCAGTTCAAAATGTATCTCTGATACCTGCACCTTTTCCTCCCAGACGAGCCCATCTCCGCCTGTGTCTAGAACGCTTAAAAGTTCTGATACCACTAGGACCTGACTGCACCAGACACACAACCCTTGGGCTACTTAACAAAGCCAAAGCACATATCAAGGTAAGAATAGCATCAGGTTCCATTTATAATAATGTTTCATTTATCCAATAGACATAATTGCAGAAAAGATTAACATCTTCCTTAGAGGGTTCATATCATGATATTGATATAGTGTTATATTTTGCAAACCGTCTTAAAAGGTGGTTCCAACATTTTCTGTAGCATGATTTTTCTCAATAAATTTGCAGAGTTTGTTTGCTCCGTAAGGAAGTCTGGTTATAGAGATTATTGACCAAATGTTCAGCATATAATTGCTTAAATTCCATCTTTTAAATATCAACAAATTATTTAGAACTCCAGAATACTACAGTTTCATAAAATGCAATTAAAAAATATTAACAGGAATTTATATGCATCATTGGTACTGAAAGGACTATAAGTTGCCATTGGGCTTCATCTAATGAAGTGTTTTCTGTGAACTTCAATATGGTTTGTTGAGATATACCTATGATCTTGGAATACCTAAATGGTATGGCACAACTATCAACATAGTTCCTAAGTTAAATGTAGATTTCTTTTTCTTTTTTCCTCCTAAACTGTATTCAGGTATCTAACAAATATAGACTAGGATCTGGAGCATTACATTTTTAATTAATGTGATTCATGATTTTATTGATCATAGATTAAATTTTTATGTTTTTTAAATACAGAAGATTATGCGATGGCAATAGCATTATTCAGAAACAATTAATCCCAGATATATTGTACATACCAGTATCATTGTGAAACAGTAATAAAAGCAAAATGCTAAATATGTAGCTGAAATCATGTAAAACCTACTATGCAAAAGTCCTATTGTACCTTGTAGATTGGTACATTTCCTGAAAATATTATAATGAAATAAAAGCAGTGTTGTACCAGCTTTTTCCAACCTACTAAGGTTACTGTCCACAATGCAACTGGAGGGCATGAACTTAAGACATGTTGAAAAAAGACTGTTCCAGGTTTTAGGTTATACTTACTAGTGAAACGTCAACTAACATAATCTAAACCACATGGTGCCTCATACTGAGAGTCAGTTATTCAGAGCAGATAGTTCTCTGTACAGCTCTCTAAGCCAGTGAGCCAGGCCACATACTTCAGGAAGAGACTGTTAGTGACCAAGTGTAAGCAGCATGTGTTAATTATTCAAATCTATATAGTCCCTTTACGTACCATTTAGAGTATATGGGAACTGCATTTGGAAAATAAATACAGTAGTTAATAACAAACAAAAGAAGAGGTTTTTTTTTAAAGAGCACAGCAGGTGCCCTGACTACAGTGTTTCTGACCCTTTCCTGATTTTTTTTTTTTAAAAAAAGGGTAGTGCCAGGCTCACAGGGATCAGGATGTGCTTAAACACTTTGGAACAGCTCAAGCTTAGCAGGGAGAGAAACCCTGCTTACTTAAATGGATGGCATTAGCCTGAGATGACTTGGAGTTATGCAACTTGCTGGCCATCAAGAAACCCTGTGCACTGGCCTGGTAAGATTTCCCAGCTGTGATGAAAGGAGTCTGCAGTAGATTACATAAATGACTGGTCAAATGGGAAACTGCTTCAAAGAAATAGCTGATAAATTAAACGGTGAAGGTACATCAGCTTCTTTACTTGCAATGCCTTTTCCTATTGAATTGTCTGAATAGAGACTGAGCATTGCTAAGTTACAAAACTAAGATCCCCTGATGGAAAGAACTAACCATGCATCTCATGTTGCTGAAGCTCTTTGTCCATGCTCTATTTGATCTTCTCCTTTTCATTACTCTAAGATTAGACTGAGATGCAAACTGATTCTTTTTGTAGGGAGTAAGGGCACTGTTTTTTGTAACTTGCAAGCTGATCTCATGCCATTTAAGAGCGTATATCTGACAAATAGTTACACAGCAACACATTATTACTTGGTATATCATCATTCGTACTCATCACCTCTGTTTGATCTTCCAGCTTGCCAAAACGTATTTCCAATTTTCTCTGTAGTTCTAAAGCATCACCAGTTATCTTCTGGCAAAGCTCTCAGATTAATATCTGAAATGAATATTAGTAAATGAGATGGGGAAAGTGCTGGGGGAAATCCAGATAATGAAAAACAATCTTTTGTCATGGCAGAAACTTGAAGAAGCCGACAGGAGAAGCCAGCATCAGCTTGAGAACCTGGAAAGAGAGCAAAGGTTTCTAAAGCGACGATTGGAGCAGCTGCAGAGCCCTCAGGACATCGAGCGAATACGAATGGACAGCACTGGATCAACCATGTCCTCAGATCGCTCTGATTCAGAGCGAGGTCAGTATTTGATCCATCCATACTATTAGCTAAGGAGGCAAAATATTCAGCTCTCTTTGCTCCACACCATTTCTTTGCTTTGACCATCCTATAAGTAACCATAATTTCATTCAGATTGTAAGATCATTCTATAAATAAGGCACGGCTTGAGTGAGTCTTGTTTGGAAGCATATGTCATCTACATTTTTCATAGGTGCCTAGGAGTCCTGAATGTCCCTATTAAATTTGGCAGAACTTAAAGTTGTTTAACTTTGGTCTCTGTCTAAAATATATTTGATTTTTTTGCCCATTTGTGTTGAACTCATACAAGTATCAACACTTCCAGCTCTACAGTATGCCTACTTAGAATAATTTAGTCTTATGTATTTCCTGTCAAGTAAGAAGAATCTTTCCATATCTGCACCTGATTAAAAATCTAAGTGGTAGACTTGCAGTAGACAGTAGTTCAACCATCTGACAGTTATAAAACACCACTAATTATCTTCTGGCAGAGCTTTCAAATTAATATGTGGCAGAAACTTATTTGGATACAATGTATTGTCGAAGGCTTTCACGGCCGGCATACGATGGCTGGTGTGGGTCTTCCG